AAGATCCTCCTGCCTCCACATAATGAGTAGCTGGGACTTACAGGTATATGCCATCTTGCCTGGGTGTGTTATCTTTCCAAACAATCTATATATTTTCAATCTGGGAGCCATTATGCAATTAAGGAACAGGGAGCCCTGCACGATGTCTCATGCCTGTAATCCCAAAGCAGGTAGATTGCTTTGGGATTGCTCAGAAGTCTGAGACCAACCTAAGCAAGAGTAAGACCCCTGTCTCTAAAAAATAGCCTGGCATTGTGGCAGACACCTGGAGTCCCAGCTACTCAAGAGGCTGAGGCAAGAAAATCACTTGAGCCCAAGAGTTTGAGGTTGCTGTGAGCTGTGATGCCATAGCACTCAACTCCAGGGCAACTGAGTGAGACTCTGTCTCCAAAAATGAAAATAAAAATAAAGGAACAGGGAAATTTTAATTTTATGTACTTTTCTGAGCTACTAGAAAACAACTGAATCCAATACCTAACTGGGTTGAGGAAAGGGCCTGAGAATAGAAGGCCATTCCACTCTCCTTCATAAGAATTGTAGCAGGCAACAAGGGACCTAATGAGCATCTTCCACGGGAAAGGAAGAAAAGCTAACATTTATTTAATGTCTATTATTCATTCATTTCTTCATTAATCAAAGTTTATCAGCTGAAGATTTAGTAATAAATTAGACACAAAAGTCTCTACTCTTAAGAAACAGACAATAAAGAGAAAAACAAATGAGTGAATGAGACAGTTTCATACAGCCATGAGTGAAACAGATTTCTAGTCAAGACGGTTCTTTATTTCATTCTTTGGGGATTCCTCCCTTCTCCAAATACAGAGCAATGAATGAGAAAATACAAATGTGAAAATTAAAAAGATATAATTATGCTCAAAAATATGATTAACATCATGGATGACAGTGTGAACAGAAACACTTAATGGCAAAGAAGTGGAAGCTGTAGACCTTTGGGGCTCTGAGTCCAGAAAATGGCAAAGAAAACCAGGAGCTCAACTCTTGAGGCCTAAAAATGTCCATCCAAAATAGGCTGAATATGGGTTCACTGCTGGAAATTAAGCATTAAGATCACCTGCATATAAAGGAAGCTGAAATAACCTGTCATCAATCACAATCTAGGATTGTAGCTTCTAAATGCATTAGGAATTGGGTAAGTGAGGAGACACAACCTTCTCCAGCAACTGAACCATGACGTCCTTTGGTCTAGGGACCGGGGACCAGATCTGCAATACTCTGGATACCAGCAGAAAGAAAGTTGTTCCCAGCTGCCAATGTAAGTTCTGAACGTGCACAGGTATTCCCAGGTGTCAGAAGGAGAAAAATGAAAACTTAGGGAGGAATAAGAATGAGACAGAAACACAAACCAAACAAAAAACCTTTGACCCTTTCAAGATGAGCTCGCGATGAAGCATTTCTAAACACAGAGAAAAACTGAATTCACTCCAAAAAAATGAAAATAAAGAAATATAAAAAATATTGAAACTAAGTGTGTTTAGAGTCTTCAAAAAGATAAGGGGAAGGGACTAGTTTATAGGAATAAGGCAGTAGTTCTCAATCTTCCTAATACTGTGACTCTTTAATACAGTTCCTGTGGGTCGTGACCCACAGGTTGAGAACCACTGGAATAAGGTAACAAAAAACAGGCAGAAATGAAATAAGTAAAAGTGGATATAAATAAGCAACCATGAGAGATTCTGGAAATGAATAAGTTACTGAAATAAAAACCTCACCAGACAGGAGAAAGTCTAAAGTGGGGCACTGATAAAAGGAGAAGGAATGAACTAGAAGATAATCTAATTACCCACAAGGCAGCATGGAGATATGAGGCAAAAAATATTGTAAAAAGCAGTTGAAAGACATGGAAAATGACTGAGTAAGTGGTATTATGTAGCTAATAGAAATTAAACTAAAATTTTTTTTCAAGGAAACAGAAAAGTAATATTTGTAGAGCTAGACTCCAAAATTAAAGATGCAGGTTATTATGCAGAAGTACAAGCAGGAGCTAAGCAGATAAATATCTGAGAAAGTCAGAGAATACTGAAGAAACCGCACAGCAGGCTCCGGTGATGGTGGGTTCCTTTCCCAGGATCAAGCCTGGAGGTACTCCAAAGGGAGGACATCAAAATAGGAAAAAAATGAAATATTAGATGATAAATACAAAAATAGAATAGCTGAAGAAGAGAATACAGATGAAATAAATAACAGGATATAGCTGAGAATTATTAAATTGGAAGGTCAGACTGAGAAACTCTTATAGAAAAAAGAGAAAAACAATTAAGGAATAGAAACTATAAAGAAAAGTTAAGAGACAGGAAGATAGAGAATTATTAATATCCAGATAATAAGAGTCCAAGAAAAAAGAATAAAATGAAAATAAACAGTAAAAAATATTTAAAGAAAGCCAGAAATAATTTTTTCAGAATTAAATAGTTATGAAAAATCTTTCCACTGAAAGTCTGAGTGACAAAGAGAAAAGAAAACAAAAACTACACTTAAGCACACTGTGTTATAATTTAAGTCTTTTCAACAAATGTATTGGAACTGAATACCCATAGGCAGAAAAAAAGAATCTATGTACTTCACACCTTATACAAAAATTAATTCAAAATACATACTCACAGACTTAATCGTAAAACATAATACTTTCAGGAAAAAACATACATGACCTTGAGCTGGGCAAAGAGCTCTTAGATATGTCACCAAAAGCATGATACACAAAAGAAAAAAAATGATAAATTGTAACTCCTCAAAATTTAAAACTTTTGTTTTGTGAAAGATATTAATAGGGAAAAAAAGCCACAGACGTGGAGACAATCTATGCAGATCATACATCTGACAAAGGATTTGTATCCAGAATATACGAAGAACCCCAAACTCAATGATAAAAGCAAACAACTCAATTGGAAAATGGGCCAAAGACATGAACATATATTTCACCAAAGAGAAGTTATAATGGCACAAATAAGCACAGAAAAAGATGTTCAGTATCATTAGCCATTTGGGAAGTGCAAATAAAACCACAGTGAGACATCACCACAAGCCTATTAGAACAGCTAACGTAAAAATAGGGTAACATCAAAAGTCAGTGAGGATGCAGGGAACTAGGTCTCTCACACACTGCTGGTGGGACTATAAAAAAGTGGTAGAGCCGTTCTGGAAAAAAGACTTAACAGTTTCTTATAAAACTTAACGTGCACTTACCATATAACTCAGCAATCATACTGTTGGACATTTACCCGGAGGTAGGAAAACTTGACACATAAAATATGTACACGAATATTCACAGTAGCTTTATTCATAACTAGCCAAAGCCCAAAAACCTGCAAATAGTCTACCATGAGGGAATGAGTAAAATGGGATGCCACTCTGGGATAAGAAGGAATGAATTACTGACACGTGCACAGCCTGCATAGGCATCACACCAAGTAAAAAAAATTCAATCTCAAAAGGTTACATACTGTCTTTATAAATTTATAAAAGACCCTATAAATGACAAAAAACTATAGAGATGAAGAAAAAATTAGTTATTACCAGAAGGAGGGGTGAGCGTGAGGTGAGTGGACTGGGTAGCGTGAGGGGCTTCTCTTACAGGGATGAAACACTTCTGTTTCTTATCCTAACGCTAGTTACACATATCTATCTATACATGGGATAGAACTTCATAGCACCACACATACAAACACAGAAAGGCAAGGGAGTTTTTGTTTGTTTGTTTTATTTTGAGACAGAGTCTCACTCACTCTGTCACCCTGGGTAGAGTACCATGGCATCATAGGTCACAGCAATCTCAAACTCTTGGGCTTAAGTGGTCTTCTTGCCTCAGCCTCCCTGGTAGGTGGGACTACAGGCACCCACCACAAACCCCAGCTAGTTTTTCTATTTTTAGTAGAGATAGGGTCTTACTCTGGCTGGTCTTGAACTCCTGAGCTCAAGCAATCCACCTGCCTGGGCCTCCCAGAGTGCTAGGATTATAGGAGTGAACCACTGCACCTGGCCTAGAAAGGCAAGTTTAAAAAACTGAATACTGGATTGAAATATTGAATACTGAATAAGGTAGTCCAATGTCCATTTCCTGGTTTTGATATCATATTACAGCTAGCTGTGTAAGATGGCGACAGCAGAGGAAGCTGTGGGTAAAAGGTACACAAGACTCTTGGTGCTATTTTTGCAATTTCCTGTGAGTCAACAATTATTTCATAACAAAAAGTTTAATGGGTAGAAAAAGATGAATTATTTAGTAGATTAAATATTGACTATCCTCAGAGGTACAGATAAAATAAGACCTCTATCTTACATATATACTGTAGTAAATTACTAGAGGACATAGGAACTCAATACCTATAAGGAAAAAAAAACACATTTTTATCACATTTGGATAAAAAAGATTTTAAGATTTTTTTTTTTTTTTTGAGACAAAGTCTCAGGATGTTACCCTTGGTAGAGTGCTGTGGTGTCACAGTTCACAGCAACCTCCAACTCTTGGGCTTAAGTGATTCTCTTGCCTCAGTCTCCCAGCAGCTGGTATTACAGGTGCCTGCCACAACATCTGGCTATTTTTTGTTGCAGTTGTCATTGTTGTTTAGCTGGCCAGGGCTGGGTTCGAACCCGCCAGCCTTGTGGCTGATGCTGTAACCACTGTGCTACGGCTCCGAGCCAGATTTTAAGATTTTTTTTAAAAATACAAACCATAAAAGAAAACTCTGACAATTTGACCTCATTCACATTTAAAACCCCGTATAATGAAAGGCACCAAATCCAAAGTTAAAAGACAGGCACAACTCATCTTAGAACACACAAAGCTGGGAAATGCAAAAAACAGATTGTCCCTTTGGGCTTCCAGAAAGGAACAAAGCCCTGAGGACACCTTGATTTTAGCCCAGTGAGACTTGGGTCAGACTTCTAATCTACAGAACTGTAAGATAATAAATGTGTGTTGTTTGAAGGCACAAATTTATAGTAATTTGTTACAGGAGCAACAGCAAACCATGACAATGACTTACGTCTGTTGATTTCCAAGCATTAATCTTGAATGGAAGTGTTTCCTGGGACAACACAGTTCCTGTAGGCAACAGACTGTCTTGGCAGTGCTCTTGTTTCAATCCCGCCTTGGAAGAGTTTTCTGCCAACAACATAAAGCTAAGATTTTATCATGGCAAAAACCAATAATGTTTTAGTATTAGTTCACCATTTTTAAGTTATTAATCACTTCTGAAGATTCCTTTTGCCTACTAAATAGCCATCATCTGCCAGTGGTAAACTGTGAGTATTGACCACTTTAATATATCTCTTTATAATAATTGACAAGTTCAGATTGGTTTTTAAAAACACAATTTTTCTAGCCCTTTTCCACATCAACAACTCTGTTATAACTAATAAACATATTTTGAAAAATAAGGTATAATACAATATAGAAAATAATTTCAAAATGGAAAAACTATTCAAATGAAATTTTAGCAAAGTGGGAATGATAATTATAATTATTCAAATTAATATTTAAAAGAACTTTACTATTCAGCGTGAATTTCATGTGTTCTAAGACTATTCCCAAATGTATAGGTTACTTGATAAGAAAAAGAACTTTTAGCACAACTTTAAAATTTAATTTAAACATAAAAGCAAGAGTGAGATCCTGTCTCTACTGAAAATAGAGAAAAAAAAATTAGCAGGGTATATTGATGAGTGCCTGTAGTCCAGCTACTCTGGAGGCTGAGGCAAGGGGATTACTTTAGCCCAAGAGTTTGAGGTTGCTGTGAGCTATGATACCATGGCACTATACCCAGGGCAACAGAGTAAGACTCTGTCTCTAAATAAATAAGTAAATGAATGAATAAATAAGATAAAAATTTAAAAATAAATTAAAAAATATATTTATAGCATATGACACAATAAAATCATTTTCTCAAAAACTTGTTGTATTGATGGATATACTGTAATTAATATCTTAATTTTCTGCACATTTTCTGAGTAATTAGGTTAAATTAAAGTATAACAGATATAATTAATAATCATTTAATAAATTTGAGTAGTTTTTTGGGTATGATTCCCAGAAATTGAGAAAGTAAATTAGTCCTAATGACTGCTTGAATCTTTTTCTAGTAGGGTGTTTCCAATTCTTTGCTTTCAACAACATTGAAGAAAGACCTAATCAAGTTAACTGTCAACAAAAGATCAAAAGTATATTTATAATAAATTACCATCATATAATTTTTTTACATATTACTTGAAAGTAATTCATAAAATTGATTGACAATGCTATAATAAAACACCTGCTAGTTTCACCTACAATTTAAGCGAATAAGTTTTCTTAGCATTTACATCTATCTATAAAAATGTAAAACAGAAACAGAATTTATACTGAACTCTGCTTGCATATTGTAATAAATAACATTCTTATGTGAGTAAACAGGTAGTCCCAGGTATCTCATAAACATATTTCCAGTAAAATTGTATCCTTTATGTTTGCTAAATATCCATAAAAGTATATAATGCATTTATGTGGATTTGCTCAATTGTACACTAACAATAATTGTATTGATAAGACAATCTAGGATATTAAGATCTCTGATCACAGAAAATTTATAAAAATAACTACAATTAATATACACATTTGACATAGAGAAAATTTCCAAGCATAAAAATACTTCATATTAGGATAAAGCTCTGTGAGGGATGTGGAATGAAAATGTGACTTCAAGGAGAAGAGGCAATAATTTAAAGTTCCCAGCCGTTAAAGAAGACTTCATGTGTTTTTTTCAAATGAATGACTATAGCTATCAGTCCTAAGAGTATTTAGATTCCTTTAGATATATTTAGAAGACTAATATGACAATTTTGTTTTTTCTTTGTCTTAATGTCAATATTTGCAATATGACAAAATTATATCCTTTTCAATTATTTATACTTGTAAAAATCTCATAAGTCAACTTAAAAATATATGAAGAGGTACATAATTTTTCAATATCATTTTAGGAGTTGTACAAGAAAAATATCTTGAAAAGCAATGATACAAGACATGGTCCTTACCTTCAAAAAGTTTATACCCTAAGTAGCTAAGTCTAGCATGCATACTTACAGGAAAGGATTAGAGAACAACTATATGTTAAACTTTCTGGAATTAACTAATTTTAGGAGTATACACTCTTAAAACAATGTGCAACAGAGCATTTAGAAAGATCCTCAAACAGGAAGTAAAATTTGAACAAGGCTTTGAAGGATAAATGTAGTGGAAGAGAGAAATTATTCCAAGCAGAAGGAACTACATGGGCAAAAGGGGCAAGTATGGTAGATGCCAGAGATACTGAAGAAATAACAAGAATTTTCCATCTATAGTTGTAGCTTTTTATTCTGTTGTAACTTCACATGAAGATGATAATGAAAATCGATTTATTTTGGACTTGGAGATTTTATAATTAACACTGTGACACAGTGGTAACTTGGGGCTTAGATCACCTATCTACTTTCACTGGGTTTAGTCAGGAACTATATTATCACTCCAGTATTCAGCAACAAAATTATCTTTGAAATGATACAGACTCAGGTTTTAGACATCACAGAAGTAGATTAATAAAAATTTCAGAAAGTCAGTTTTGAAGTAAACTGTGAGGGAAACCGCAAGAATTATGAAAAAAATATCTTGCATATTTGGAATTTTTTTGCCTAGATGGCTAAAATGTTATAAGCCTATTAAATTATCTTAAAGGGCAAGAAGGAAAGCTGTGGAATTTCACTAAGTTTTTCTTTTAGTATCAAATAGCACAACACTGCAAGTGATATGTGCTTAATTAGGTTAGGTGATAACACAATATTTACTTTGGATTTTCACAAGCAAGTGGAAGTAGGCAACACACATTTAGTTCTCAGTGGAAATGAAGTCCCTTTGGTATCCCAAGCCACTTATCAATCAAGATTGTGAAGTCACAAGCCAAGAAAGACTAGTATGTGAATGAGAAACTTCAGGGGGAAAAGTGAAGATGCTGCAGGAAATGAAGCTACTGAGTCATCCAAAGATGAATACTTAGATACCAAGGCTGTAAGTACTTTGCCCAAACTATCTAGAGAGAAATTGTGGACCTCATTGAGCGTGTACCACTCAGATAATACCACAAAGCAGAACTGGTGAACCCTGTGATGATGTTTCTTAGATGAGATATCAAAATGACATTCAAACTGCCAGACATTAACAATGCAACATACATTTTGGAACTGAAATGCTCCATAGACTGAACAAATTTCCAAACTCTTCTGTTTATTAATTAGCATCTAATAAAAACTGCTGCAATGGATTGACATGTCCTTTCAGGTGTAATTTACTTAAAATTAATTTTTAATAGAAAAATGTATTCTATCATAGAAAATATTCAGTGAGCTAATATAGAACTGGTCCAATATAAAAGTAAAGTCTCGTGGTCTTTAAGTTTATATCTGACTTTCACAGAATCATGAGTTTGAAACTTTGACTCCCAATTTTTCTGCCATGGCATATAATTATACTTAAACATCTTCAAGTAATTGATATTTGTCCTATCTTTTTTAAAACTCTCATTTTGTAATAATTTCAAATTTTAGAAAGTTTGCACTAGCTCAAAGAACATCTATATATCCTTAGTCCAGATTCACCCATTGTTATCATTTCTCCCCATTTGCTTTATTCTCTAATCTCAATTTATTCTATTCTGCTAGTCTCATCACAATTTACACTGACCTACACTTACCATACACCTACACTTACCATTATTGCTCTATATTTTAAATCTAGAAGAAAAGTCATTATTGCAGGTTGGTTTCCACAGGAAATAGACTCTCAGATGCTGATGTGTAAGTGGGAAAGGTTCATTAGAAAGTGCTCTTAGAAATAGTATCTGCAAGGAGTGAAGAAAGCAGGATGGAGCCAAAGGAGAAACTAAATTGCAAGGCGGTTGCAACAGAGTATGCAGCAGATCCTTGTAGAAGCTTCTACCTGATTCTAAAAGAAATACATCCACATTTAAATGTATAGAAATTTGTATTTTTCATTGACTTCAAATTCAATAGTATTGTGGTCAGAAAAAATGGCCTATATGGCATAGATATTTTTGAAATGTAAATACTTTATAACAAAATCAATTATAAAATCTATACTTTAAAAAATGTTTTATGTACTTTACCTATCAGTAGCTGAAAGAGATGTTTTGAAATTGTCTACTATGATGGTAAACGTTTAAATTTCTTCCTGTAGCTTACCAGTTTTTGCTTTATAGGCTTTGAAGTTGTTTTATTGGGTATGTTAACATTTAGAAATGCTTATCTCCTAGGGAATTGAACATTTCATCATTATTCTTAACAATGCTCTTGCCTTTAAATTCCACTTTGTCTTATATCAATATAGCTACACCAGCTTTCTTTTAGTTAGTATGTCCTGGTTTACATTTTTCCAACTATTTGCTGTCCCTGTATGTGAATTTATACTTGTAGCCTATATCTAGATCTCTTCCTCCCAATTTGAGAATCTCTGCCTTTTAACAGATGAATTTAATCTGTTGCTATTTATTATGATTATTAATATACTTGTACTTACTTTTCAATTTTACTTTTCAATTTCCATTTGTCTTTTTATTTTTATTAAATTTTTTCTCATTCTACTTTCTCACCACTTGTTTATAATTTATTAACTCTATTTCTTTTCTTTTAGAGCAGTGGTTCTCAACCTTCCTAATGCCACAACCCTTTAATACAGTTCCTCATGTTGTGGTGACCCCCAACCATAAAATTATTTTAATTGCTACTTCATAACTAATTTTGCTACTATTATGAATCATAATGTAATATGGAGGATGGTCTTAGGCAACCCCTGTGAAAGGGTCATTCGACCCCCAGAAGGGTTGCAATCCATAGGTTGAGAACCGCTGTTTTAGAGCCTATTCTTGAAAGTTTATTGCACACATTTACCTTTAAAAGTTTAGAGTCATCTATTAACCTTCTCTCAAAAAATACAAAGACTTTTCAAGCACAACTCTAGGGACCCACTCACCCCCAATTTACATACCATGGCTACCCACTATTTTAACTCTCTGTTTTTAACTTAAAAATTACGTATCATTTTATACAAAAAATATTTAATCTTTATATGTTTACCATTTATTC